ACGAGATCCTGGCCTTCCCACGAGCCTGGTATCGTCGGAGCATCATGAGACGCCTGTTCCTTGGCGACCAAATGGCCACAAAAAGGGCTCAAAGTAAGTCACATTTTGCTTCACGGTTTATAATGTGAGCTAACACGCAAGGAAAACGCCTAGGAAAAAAAATGTTGTTTCCTGTTTCCCGACCGACCCTATCTAGGAAAAACTGCTGACCCTAGCCTTTTTTGTGTGGACCCCTGTGAGGGACATAAATTTTTCCAGCTGATTGACCTTTTCTAGCTCCATGATCTGACACCTGAGTGATGAAGCATTGTACAATCAGTGTCCCAACATTGACATTGCAAAATTAATTAATGAAAGTCTCCTCATGCAAGTTTTACTTTGTTATACTGTATATAATTGTATAAGTTGGATCACTAGAGATCGCCAAAGTCTTTAAAAAAAAAGATAATTCCTAACTACCGACCCTAATTTTTTCAGGACTGAAACAGGAAACACAACATTTTTTTCTAGGCCTCAGTCATACCTAGTTAGGCAACCACCTGCCCAAGTTGGCCACTATTACTCAGTCCCTTGAGTGGTCGCCTTAGGCAGGTTTGACTGTACTTGTAATAAAAGTCTTTTCACTTGCTAGAGATATCCCTTGAGATATCCAAATGAGAAAAAATACATTTGGTATTATCTTTTAGTTATTGGATGCCATATAGCTATCAATGTAGTGAAGCTGATTTTCATATACAAAAAAAATCAGTTTTTCAGCCATGTTTGTTGCTCAGAATATGAACAACCATTTGTACTTTTGGAATCAGGTTCCTTCGAAATAGCCCATGAGTTTGAGTTGTCGACTGTTAACTCGGTATGTGTAATTTCTCCCTCTCAGGTCAGGCTCCTACTCCCAACCAAACCTTTTCCACGTCGCCCAGCTCGGTCCCTGTAAACCTCCCGTCCCAGCCTGCCTTCTCCTCAGACACACCGTCATCCGCCATCTTCCCCTTCGTCCCACCGTCCCCCAGCATTTTCAGTATCAAGACGTCCGGTCAGAGTCCGACGGCGCCCGCGAAGAGCCCCGTAACGGGGCCGGGACGCCGACATTCGGCCTTCACCGCTCCACACGGTGTGGAAGAGACAGGAAGAACTAAGAGACATTCTGTTGCATGTGAGCAACACTTTTTCATAGGGCTCCAAACCAGGGCTCTAGCCAGCACCAGTTTTTCTGTGAATTACTGGAACTTTGCGGCGTGTGATGAAAGTTTTTTTAAACCAGTCCGTCAATCTTGACTGACAAAATTAACAAAAATCTTGGGTAAAAATATGAAAACATCTGACGGACCACCGACAATCACTCTCAATATGATGATTTGCCTCTCAAAATGTGGGAAATTGCATTTAATTTTATATTTTAAGGCTTGAAATCAAAAATTTCCTGGATTGTGAGCGCCCTCCCAAAATCCGATGATGAACCTGGGCTGATGGAAAGAAAAATTTCCAGCTGGCTAGAGCCTTGCTCCAAACTAGCAGCTTTCCCAGCATCTCTTCGTAGAAACCTCATCCATCCATGACACATTAGCTGGCTCTACGTAGACTGCCTAATGATTTTGTTCTGATCATCAACAATTCTTGCTTATTAACCCTTTTTTTCCTCCATCAAGCTTCTGCCAATTCTGCATTTAATAACTTGAAGATCTAAATGTTTCTGCTTAATTACAAATTCCATTGCAGTGATTAACATATAACCCACTTGTACATGTAGTTGCCTCTTGTCTTTCTAGCAAATAGCATACAGTTGTGAGCTCTGCTTCTTTCATATGCAGTGTTACTGTAGTTGATGTTTGTAGTACTCTTACTATTAATTTGACAATGTGTCCTTTGCTTTGCAGTTCATACTAGTACTATATGTAAATCATTGCTTCATGGATGACAACTTACAGTTCACAGAGCATGTCATTTTTCTGCAAATCCTTTTAATCTGTAATGTTGGCCAACCACATCAGATGACAACGTATATATATAACAAACACACAATCATCTAGATAAAATTGCACATGATTGTACTAACAACTTAGTGTGCAACTACCAGCAACAACAAATTTGGGTATACTATGACTTGTATAGATCACATGTAGATTACCTCACTAAACATCTCTACAAAACATGGCTGGAAAGCCACTCAAGTTTCATAATTCAAGAGAAACAGGTGAAAAATATGATAACCTTGTTTATATTGAATATAGATTAAGAAACTTTTAAGTTAAAACCATGCACTGTATACAGCGACAATGACAATGGCAATGACAGGTATGTAAGTGTGTCAGTTAGCACACCATAATGACTATAATCTCTGCTTTGCATCTTCAGTACACAATGGCAAATCTCTTGTTGGAAACTGTTCAAAGAGGATCCAGTTCATGATAAAAATTACCAGGTGACGCACTTGTAGCAGTTGCTATTTCCTTTCCAAAACGATGTCTCACCAATGAACCGATTTTCCGTAGCTCCGCCCACCCTGGAGAGACACCACAGCCGGGTGGAGGCCCTGAAGACAGACCAGAGCCCGGAGACCTCCTCCCCGGCCGGGGGGAAGACTTACCCTGCCTGGGAGACTGTCGTCCTGTTCGCTGTCAAACTGTCTCGTCTGGAGGTCAACATGAACATGAGCAATGTCATGGGAAACACTGTGTAAGTCTTACAAACGTATTGCAGCATGTTTAAAGTTAAAACTTTTGATCCAATACAAAAAGTTCTCTCACCTAGAGCTTTCGACCAGTCACTCCCTCAGCAGACTGACCCAGTGAGGCTTGTCATGTGGCTTCTTTGAAGTGTGACGTCAACACTGGCTCAAAGGTAACCGTGACGGGGGCCGACGTCGTCTACCAGATACCTTTGACCCAGTATTGATATCACACTTCAAAGAAGCCACGTGACAAGCCTCACTGGGTCAGTCTACTGATGAGGAAGACCAGAGTGACTGGTCCAAAGCTCTAGGTCTAGTACATGTAGGTGAGAGAACTTTTTGTGTTGGATCAAAACTTTTAACTTTAAACATGTAACTACCAACACAGATGAACTTTCATGATATTATATTGCATCATCGCTTTTACTAGATTACAGATTAGGCCACACTGATTTAATTTTATTGAAGACATCTGTGCACACCTTGATTTTCACCTTGATGTTTATTGTTGACAGGTGGCTGACCCAGGAGCTGTGCAGCCAGGGCCGGCTGTGCATTGCCAGCACCGGGTACAAGAACGTCAGCATAACGGCTGGCCTGGACAGCTCCACACTGGACGCACGGGGAGGGGTGGTCGGTGGGATCATCCAGATCTCCAAGATCAACACATCAGGTAGAATAATGCCATTTTGAAATAGATTGAGGACTGTATACTAAAGAGAGAAATGAACTGTTTGTACAAAACCTATTTAATAATACTTAAGCACTGTAGAAAAATTCATATTCCTAGTAATGCAACTAGACAGACCATCCGTTGAAAAACATATCTGTTCTTTTATTTCTACAATAATTATTATAACTCAAAAGTTGTATTATTTATATAATCATGATATAGTTTCTTCTTGTATCTGTTACTAGTAACTGTATCTGTTCATCTTGTTTTGTTGTGACCTGTACTTAGCCAAGTGTGGCATAAATAATTATGCAATAAAGATCGTTATTCATCATCATCATTGATAAATCAATCACATGTGAAACTCTTAGCAGCGCAATAATAAGTTGCACCAGGCCGGCTGTATTTTTAGGAGGCTCCTAAAAAGAATGTAAACAAACAACACGGCCTCGTTCCACGCTAGCGCCGAGGAGTTGTTAGTTTTCAAATACATTTTTGCGGCGCAACGCCGTCAATCTTTTACTCCCCAAATGTCATTACGAACCCAGGGAGGCTTATAGCGCAAGAAAATGTGTAAAACAACGATGGTTAAAATAGTGAAAATCTAACTATAATACTGTCATTTATTACATGGTACAAAAGAATATGTTTCCACTTTGCCCCCCTTCCCAGTGAACCTCCATGAGAACCCGGGTGATGAGCCCACCCACAGGTGTAACTTTGAGGTGAAGTCTGCCGACACGCGGCTGGACTACATGGGAGCCGCCATCTTGATGGCACGTCTTCACCAGCTCACCGTCAGTCTGAAGGATGAGTGGAAGGTGGAGGCCCTCACACCTAAGGCTCCTCACATATATGATGAGATGGGGGAGAAAAGGTAAGAACACTTACAGTTTTAATACAAAAAAAGGTCCCGTTCCAAGATTCAAGATCTTTATTGAACTTTCGCAGTGGACAACTTTAGCACCACTGAATTGCAGTCAAGTTACAGTTTTAATATATTGCACATAATTTTGATTTAATTTTTTCAATTGACAAAACTTGAAATATAGTACTGCTCGTAAAGCTGAAACATTTAAAAGCACATGATAAAATACTCTGTGCAGAGTATAGGGGTGGTACCCATCTCCATTTCTGTAGCCCTTGGGCCACACAGTTGTGCAAGCACTACAGCAGGGGGCTGGTCCGCTGGTAGTGTTGTGTGTTTGACCTTCCCATACTCTTTCTTATGCTGAGTGCTTGAAGCATAGAAAGCAGTTTACTATGTACCATTTTTAAAGCCTTATTTCTACATGATTGTATGACTCAGTCAGGGATCAAACTCACAACCTACCAAAGGCAAGGCAAACCCTCCATCCACTTGGCCATTGCACTGAATTGCAAGCATCTGAAACAGCAGCCTTGAAGCATTCTGGTGATCTCAATATGATATTCAACACCCTCCATATGCTTTCTCTGCAAGGCACCCAAAAAATACTATGGCTGAGCCCTTGGAAACAAAAACTGTGTATTTTTTCCAGTGCCATCTTCATCCATGGTGACTTGGACTGGGACCGTTTCCACCTGATGATTTCTCGCTCGACCACGCCGGACCTGATCAAGGTGTGCCACCGTCTGGAGGAGTTCTTCACACAGCAGTTCAACAGCAGCCGCAGGATGTTGTCACAGTGGGGCCTGCACGGGGTCTACATCCCACAGCCCTCCAGTCTCACTCCTGTCACACCAGAACCGACAGACAAACCCAACGGTAGGCAGTGTTCTTGCCAGGCCTTTTGAGCATAGGGGGCCCCCTATGCTGTGATTTGGGCCCCCTATGCTGCTTGAAAAACAGCATAGGGGTGTTCTTGAGGTGATGATCATAAACCTTGTTTTTGGTCATGTTTTTGGCCTCAATGCGTGACTTGCACCGCGAAAGTTGCCCTTCTGTACCTGACCCCTATACTGTACTGTGAAAAAATCCTGGTGCGAAACCTGGTAGGGAAGCCTTTGAATGTCATGGGCAGATACTTTGTGGTGTTGGGTCACATTATGTAGCAGGGCAGCTGGAGGGGCTGGTCACCATATAAAAGACTAAGACAGTACAATGTATGATTATGAAATCCAATGTTGTTGCCTGTAAGAGTAAACAGTTTAACATTATGCAGTTGCTTTGCAAATGTTACCTTCCTAGTTGTTTCTGCCTTTCTTTCAATCAAGATTGTGATTGATAAGCATACAAATGTAGGTTTTGCAATTCACATAATTTAAAAGTATAGTTATTGAAGTTGTGGAAAATAACAAAAATTATTCCTAGATTCTAAATGCTGCTTTTTCAGACTGTTAAATTAAATGCATAATTTGAGTCTTGTGTGTGTTTGACTCCATCAGAGCTAGCAGAAGCCCACCACCACCGCCACTGGCCGGCTGTACTAGCGCGTGTGTGTGGGTCCAGACTCAGCCTGTTCTCCGCCGCCCTCCCCCTACACGACCTCGTCCTGGGCGGGACCATGAATCTCCGCGGTAACGACCTGACCCTGGCCTGCTTCCATGGGGTCAACTTCCGAGCCAAGTCTTGGGCGCTGTTTAACGTCCAAGAACCCAACATCTCCTTCTGTACTGAGGTCCAGGAAATCCAGGAAGAAGGTAAGGCCACACTTAATTTTATGGACATTCTCTGAAGAACCCCAGACTAGTGCGCGCAGGTGAATAAAAAAAATTCCAGCCAAAAAAAAAAATGCTGCTAAACCACAGGAATACAAAGCTGGTATTGTGAATTTGCGGTTACACATAGCAACTTTTACAACAAGCCGGCACAGTCTGGCCTTTTGTGGCACTGTACTGAGTTCTTGAGTTCTATCACTTTCTGTCAGAGGGCATAACTACACGTGACAGGGTCGGACGGCTTTTTCCACCCCCCTAACCTGTCCAGACTGGACCAGTTTTTCCACCAACCCTGATTATATTTGGTATGTGGGTAGGCCTTGGGATGACAAATATCAGGGTTGATTTGGGGCCTTCCAGTAGATCATTTCTTGTTGTAAAACATGTATTTGATTCGTGCATCTCCCCAGATGGCAGCAGATCTGATACCTACATCGTGCAGAATCTGTCCTTCCACATCGGACACAACGTCTGGGTCACCAGCGAGAAGGACCAGGCCAACCCCATGGCAACCATCCGCAGACTGACCTGTGGCCGCTACGACAACCCTCCCCCGGGAGTGGCCAGCGTGCACGAGTGGTTTAACTACGTCAGCGCAACCAGGAATGAAGGTATGGAAAAACAATAACCTATAAGGCCACACCAATTCAATTTGTTGCTTCACTGATTTGCCCACTTGTTTTTTTCTGATTTGCAAAAAGAAAAACATTTCAGGCTCTGAACCAATTCAAATAAGACATTAAGATACACCAAAAAACAGTTACTTGTAGTGAACAACTGGATATGATTTTGGAAACAATCAGACATTTCAGGTAGCATACACTAGCTTTCGTCAGTGGCACTGAAGACTTGTCTGAAAAGCAGGTTTATAAGACTTAGTACGAAGTGCTTTTTTGCTGTCATGAAGTATCTGATACCAGCCCAGAAAAGAACAAGAAACAGTCATGCCTTCAAATATTAGAGTTATTAACCAAGAATTGAGGTATTCAAAAACTCATATTTCCCCAGAACTATCGTAGACTGGAAGTCGTTGCCACCAAGCACAGTTGGAGCATCATCACTAGAAAGCTTTAAACAACTCCTGCAATCAAATGTGCAAAGATTGAGTGTAACAAGTCGTTCGGTGTGATATAGCTAGCTGCCGCCGCGCCGCGTGCCTGCCAAGCTGGTGTGTTATGCCGAAGGGTGGTTATACCGGCTATACAGATACAGATACAGATACAGAAGACTACAATATAAAATTCCTACTGTCCATTTCCAGAGCTGGACGTGTTCAAGAGTCCTGAGGACATGCAGACCAACAGCCCGCCTGTGGAGCGTAAACTCTTCTCCTCCAGGAAGAGCCTGGACTACGGCCACGAGACAGAGACCATCTTCGCCCTCCCCAAGCTGCAGCTGGAGTTCAAGACTGAACATGTCCAGGGAGAGAAGGAGCCGCAGGCAGCAGGTAAGGAGCATGTCAGCAAAACATACTGCACCTGCTTATGGAAGCTTATTCAAGATTCAAGATGGATTTATTGGTTCTTCGCAGTAAAAAACAATTGAATTGTAAACCAATTTACAAAACATTAGTATATTAACAGTAACTACAGGTTTGCAATCAATATAGGCGTACGATTAACAATAAAAATACATGTTTCATACATTATAAATTTCCCAGACAACATTTGATACAGAACGCTGTACTACATTTAAAAAGACAACAGTCAGGGGTTCAGTCCATAGCTATTGAGGAGCTGGACCATAAATGGTATAGGCGAGTTCTTATATCTATTCGTTCTTGCTCTCGGACAGTCTAGCATCTCGCTGTTTCTAGTACTACGGCCAGTTATTTGTGATCTCTGTGGAGGTAGCCAGTCTCAGTACTCTGACCTCACAAGTGTCCTAGCAAACTTCACACACAACAGTTCTGTTCTCTCGGTAAGTGATGACAATCCAAGGTGTTGTAGTGCGTGGTCATATCCTGTGTAGGTGGTTCCCAGGATGATGCGGCAAGCCCGCCTTTGAACACGCTTACACACACAATATTGGCACAACGGAAAGAAAATTCCATCACATCCAACATTTCAGCACCACGGACAGACCAACCCTATAATTGCTCAAAGCACTACGTACATGTAGCCCCTTACACCCCAGATAAGTGTGACATGGAACATTCCAGAAGTAAGAAAAGATAGATAGAATGTACAGATTCAAAAAACTTAGCTCTGCAAGAAGAAATGTATTACAGCTATAATGTGTTGATTGTTTGATTTAAAAAAATCAAAATTTAAGACTTTAAAACACTAGTGACAAGAAGCATGTCGGCAGAATATACTGCACCTGCGCAAAACACATAATGTATTTCTTATAGCACTTCAGCAGAACGTCTCATACAAGGTCGTATTTGCGTATATAAGGTTAACACTCCGTCTGTAGTTTCCAAATGTTATGTCACAAAAAATATTGTCTGCAACAGGCAAAATTCTGATGCAATGTTGACCAAAATTTCAACGAAAACGTGAAAAATTGGGGGTTTGGCGCAGGCGCAGTGTGATCCTCAGTGTGATCTTTGCAAATAAGGTTTTGTTTTTTGGTGCCATTTCTTTCTTTCTTTATTCCAATTGCAATACACACGGAGCACTAGGCAGCAAATTTAGCTGATGCTATAATCCACACATTACAAGACATTACACATTTCTTTGTGGGTGGCCATATCCTTGTGGGTGGATGTGGTTGTTTTTGGACAGCATATTTTGAGAACTTGTAGATGGATCCATTTCATATTTTGTATGAGGGTAGGTGTCAGTAAAATAAAGGACAAGTTTGATTACGGACCTCTGAACATGCTTGGACACATGAAGAAGTTTGGCCCCCTAGCAGCATTCGTTGCAAGTGCAGTGGGCTTTTTTGTTATAATTCACACTCACATCTTGAGGCTGGTTTAGTTTTACTGACCGAAGTTGGTGTGCTATGCCAAAGGGAGGTTATACCAGCTGTACAGACGTCAACATAGATACAGTATACAGATTAAAATTAAAAGATTTTGTATCTGAGAGACTGAACAAGTGCTGTTGTTGTTGTTGTCTTTAGATCCGATGCCCAAAGTTGTGTGCAGTTTTGTGACAGAGTTTATTGACCACATCTGTGTTGCCATGGACGCTGAGCTCATCCTCTTCCTGCACGACCTGGTGGCAGCTTACATCAAAGAGAAGGAGAGAGGTGACATATTCTTTTTAATAAATACGTAATACTCTCAATTGGTGTAAAATACATCATGTAGCAACATACAAAATTCCCTTGTCAGAGCATTACATTTACATGTAAGTCAGAGGAGGATATTACATGGCGTCCTTGTAATATCCTTTTATTACTTATTTAGCAAGCGGCAAAATATTCTCGTATGCTATCCTCAAATACTTGTGTTACTCAAGTACATGTACTTCTGTTATAGAAAATTAAAAAGAGACATATAAACTGACAATTTACTAAGTCTTATTAGTACAATGCTTTCCTTTTTTCTTTTAGTTTTTGAATATAGTGCATTTAGCTAGCTCTTCATTTAGCTAGCATAAATATGCTGCAATAAATATCGTCATACAACAACTTGAAGTTATAGTTAGTTCTGTTATTTGCCTTACATTGTTTGCTTATCTCTTTTAAATTTAATGAGTCTATATATATAATGGACCATGTTTTCCTTCTACAGCTTTCCCTTCAGGTATCCGTAACTCCACAGCCATGAACCGCAGGTCCAGACAGGACTCCAAAGGGAAGGAAGGGAGTGACCCTGGCACTGAGATCACCAAGGCTAAGGACTGGCGAGAGTTCCAGTGTCGAGTATGGCAGCTCGAGCCTACTGTCAGGTGGGTTATTTTGTTTGTTTTGCATAACCGGTAAATAAACCGCTTTTGTAGGCGTAACACACCAGTTTTGTACACATAAGTACAAGCTGCATAATACCAGACTATATGGTTTAAACCACTCACACTGGGAAGGACCCCCCACTCTGTTTGATAAGTGTGGTGGGTTCTTTAACGTGTGTGGGGTGTGGCTCTCCCCAAACACAGGACCTTCATTTAACATCCTATCCGAGGCACATCCCTAATAACCAAAGCTACAATGTAGGGTACTACTCATTTCCACCTGAGTGAAGTGAGGAAAGTCGTGTAAGGATTCGAACCCGCAACCTCTTGGTCCTGAGCCAAACACGCTACCATTTACACTACACGACCCCACATGTATTTACACAATGTGTGTAGATTGTAGAATTTAACATGCACTGTACTGAGTTCTCGAGTTCCATGGAGCGTCGGCAGCCTGGGTGCCGTCTTCGGTAGTTACCGCCGGCTCACTATTACCGCTAGCTACCATGGACTACAGAGGATAGCACCCAGGCCAGAGCATCAGAGGAGGTGATTATTATTTTTTTTTGAGAACTGCGCGTGCTGATGTCATCTATAGAATTAAATCAGTGGGGCTTTACAGTGCTAATTACAAAATGTATATATATAAACCTATCTGTTTGTCTCTCCTGACCAGACTGCTGTCCTGGGCTGGGAAGAGGATTGACCCAGTGGGAGTGGACTATATTCTCCAGAAGCTGGGATTCAAGCACGCCCGCGTCACCATTCCCAAGTGGATCCAGCGGGGCGCCATGGATCCCATCGACAAGATCCTGTCCATCTTCCTCAACAAGATGGTCAACGCACTGCGCGAGGAGCCAGAGGCATCCTCAGAACCTGTACAGTAAAGGGGCCCGCATTCCCTTTTCTGTAGAATGTAATCAGCCAATTTTATTTCTATGTAGAGCATAAACAGACCACTCTGTGCATTTTACGTAGAGTGTAAGTCGCTGTTTTGATTCTTCCTAATGCATTGTAGCTGCCTGGAATTTATCATAAAACGTAATGGGGAGGCTTCCTGAATTCAGCGTAATACATATTAGCTGGCTCTTAAAATTTAGCGTAGAGCGTTTTCGGGACCCCCCCCCCCATGCATGCCCTCAGTAAAGGCGTTTGCATACTTCTCGTTTGCATTGAAATGTACAGAATGCCAGTAACAGAGGTTACAGCATTTTGCTTTTTTTCTCCAAAAAGATTTTAGCTTCAACTTTTTAATGTAACGGAGGTTACAGACATCTGAGGTAACGTGCGTTACTGAACTCTCCAAACTCATGGCTATAATTTGTTCCAAGTCATCAACCAAACCTAGTGTTGCGGTAAATTTTTTTGTGAAACATAGTTAGTGTTGTGGGGCGGTGAAGAAAGCAATGATGAGGCCCGTGATTTAGCTCATATCTAGTCGTAAAGGGTGGCGACAGTATTTTGCACATTTGAATGAGAACAAGCAAGACATTGAGTTGCATCCATTCCAATATTGTATATGGTAGTCTTCTTGCAACTTCAGTAAAATTCAATAGCATCTTTTCATATTGAGTATAAATGTTGTGGATAATCTACAGTGCAAAATAATATCATTGATGGCAACATCAGGAATACAAAATTTCAGTCAATAATCAGAATGACTTGAAACCGTATCCAAGAAATTTTAGGAGGCACATTTCTGTATGTATTGTTATTGTATGGTGCATGTTCTTCTGTATTAATTTTGTGTCAAATAGAAGTTGATAAATCATTTCTGTATCAATGTTTAAGGTCAATTACTTGTAAATTGTATGATTGTGTACCTGTACCCTCAAACAACATAATTATTCAGAGTTGAAAGCATTGTAAAAAGCAATAAATATGTACAGAAGCCACTGCAATTGTAAGAATTCAGCATATAAATCAAAATATCATACTACTAGGCTAAGAATGATTGTTATGAGAAACTGAATAATATGCTTATTAGATTGTACATACAGGTATGGGACAAGACTAAAGGCAAGAAAGATTCATAAACTTAAAGTTGTTCAACAGTACATGTTGAACTGATATTAAGTAGTTAATGAAATGCAAATTCAGAAAACTTTAGGAGTAATGTAGACTTGTGCTAGTATTGTAATATTAATAGATCACTGTATTATACTCAAGACGTTGACTGGTGCAGTGTTAAAGAGTTTGTGATGAGTTTTTGCTCTGCTGTTTTACTCATCCCTTGTATTGTTGCCAAAGGCAAAGCAACCGTTCTGTGCAATCATGTTTGTTGTGACGTGTTTTGTTTATAAAGCGTGACTACAAAATTATCAACATATCAATATAAGAATATGAACATTAGATTATATGTAATTCCTTTACTGTGTACCTGTAGTCAGAAATCCAGTTGTATAGTTACTGTATTAGCTTTAGGCCATAGCAAGTAAATTTTATGGATGACATCCTCCACAGACTCCAAATCTAATGCGAGCGGGTGAAAAAAAAAAGACAGGCCGAAAAGAACAAGGTTCCTACATTTTAGAATTTTGACTCAATCATTGTACAAATGGTTTTGATTCAGTGGGAACATCACATATATACAGCCAGCATCACATATCACTGCATCAAAGTAAGAAACAAAACTTAAATCAGACTCTTTTCTTGTCTCCTCTCTTCATAGTTATCTGCCATCCACCTTCCGGCATGGCAACAGACATCTTTGCCCATTTTCGGCATGTTGACCACTAGCAGTGCTGTCAGAAGGCAACAAAATTTTTTTTTTTTTCCAAAATCAGGCAAAAATTAATGCGTGCGCCAATGTCATCCATAAAAATTACTTGCTGTAGCCTTACAGTATTAGCTCTGCCCAAACTGGCTTGAGAGTCACAACAGGGCTCTAATTGTGCTGAAGGACTAAAACCTGTTCTTGGCACACATCTCTGTATTGATGGTACTAGTATTACTGTCTTATGTAGTAGCCAAAATAGGACAGCCATGTATCTTGTGAATCACATTTATGTACATGTATGTTCTGACATACAAGTATGGTAAAGATTGTCCCATAGGTTGAGTTGTTGGAACGTGTGGATGTCAGAATATAATGATATGTCAGAACACAGTGTATCCGTCAAACAATACAGTGCCAGACAGAGTTTGAAACAATTCCCTGAATGTCTCGTATCGGATTCTATACAACTTTGTCTTTAACGTGCGGACAGATTTCAAATTTATTTGTGTTTGAATCTTTTGACATATCACTGTGTGGTTAATTTCTGATAGTGTGATATCTTCATTTTCTTTTCCAGCTATGCAATGTTTTTGTGCGGATGGCACATGTTTGAAACAGTTGAAGTGCACGTGTTGAAATTCACTCGCTTGTTTAGAGGATATCCATGACTGCCATTGGGTTAAGAATATGATCAAATGATATTATTTATGCAAATGAGGATCTTATTTGCATAAACAATGAGAAACATAAATACAAATGTATATTGATGTAAACGTTAACATTGACGAAGATATGAGATCGTGGAACTCTAGTTGAAAATAAAACAGTTGAAGTGTATCTGTTGAATTTCACTCAGAACTTCTTTAGATGATGTCGATAATAGCGATGAATACAAAATTTTAACTAAGTGCGATAAAAGTTTGACAGCTTTGAGTTTATTAGGATATAGATCGATAGATAGAAGCAACAAATTATTTTCTAGTTGAGTGCAGCACTATTAATTATACACTCACACATACAATGTATATGTGAGCTTATTAATAATACTTTCTAGATTTGCTTTTGCCCTGACATACGTAAATACTTGTATGATATTAACTAGAATGTTATAAAATGTTGAAATAAATGAAATAAAATATTTCTGTTGCCCTTTGTTGACAACAAAGAAATGGCAGAAATATTGCCAAAAAACTTCCATATTCAGACGCTCGTACTAGCCGTTGTACTCTTGTAGGAATTCTCGTCTCAAAATGAGCATATGTCTGACTAAAACGATTATTCCTGATATATCTGTGATATTTAAGTAGTCAGGAGAGGCCTCAATGTCAAGAACAAGAGCTGGAAAGACCTGGAGTAAAACCCCCATAAGAGCCCATCGTGTTTCCCAAGTCGCGAATTGGCCAAATCTGGGAATGAGCGAGGCTTTTTTAGCGAGATACGGGCCTTTCCCGAACGGGTGCTTCAAAACGGGGGTGTGATAGGGGATGGATTTACGCTTTTTCAATTTTAGAAAAATGAAACTTTGGGCATTTTCCGGGCTCCTTGTTTTCAGAGTATACTCCGTATGGTCTCCTTTTTATTCCTACATATTGTCTTTGCCCAAATTTCCTTCATTCTCAACTTACACGTAAAAATGTGATTTTGCGATCAGCTGATCGCTTGCAGAAATGGTCACAGTCTTGGCAGAAGTGAATTTTCCGTGTCGATCTCATTACCATATGAATGTAAACCATGCAAGCAGATGCATGGTGGAAGGCAAAATCGTAACAGCTTGGGATTGCCATAGTTATACGCCTGGCAGAGGCTCTGTTTCCATTCATATGATATTGCGATCGACACTGAAAAATTCGCAAATTGATTTCCTTCGTATATTGCAGTCGGTGTATTAATATTCAGTTTGTAGTCATGAAGGTTCAAACTGAAGCTATCCCTGTCCTTGGTGCTGAAAGCTATCCCCACACAATGCCCCCCTCCCCTGTTAGTAAGAATATTACGTGGTTGCCGAGCATTTTCACCTCCCCTAGCCTCATAAATTGGCTCCTTTTCTTTGTAGAGGCAATTCTTACGACTCGGTAGCTTATCTGGGGGGAAATAACTGACTAAAATAGTCCCGTTTGTCCGAAAATCCATCGTAACTTCAGTTGTTTACATGAAAAGTAAAGCCGCTTCATAGCTTTGAGTCTGGTGTCCATATTTGGTCAAAGAGGCAGACGTCATAATTGTTTCTCATTATTATCCAATCAGGCTCGACGACTCAAACACGTAGACATGATGAGAACCAATCAGCATCAAGGATACATCGGTTAATGACCCTCTGCGCCATGTATCAAAAGCGACTTCTAGCAGTCGGTGAAATTATTGCATGTAAAAATCTCCTCAAGTACCTGCAATAATTCCGTGAACTGCTAGAGACCATCATTGACGCGTGTGGTAAATGGCATTATGGCGCCTGTGGATGCATCACAGCACCAATTAACTAAAACGTGAGGGAGTAAACTTTGTAAAGAAGGGTGCACGTTCGCCAGGGGTGGAAGGATTCTTCTGGACACCTCAGGTATGAATTATTACACTTCTAGAAAGGGTTTGTTGGAAAACTGGAACGAAATGTTTATGCGTTTTATTGATGTTTGTTTAATTTTTCGTTACAAAATATATTTTCTTTGATTTTGTTCTTACTATGAGTTTTAACCGTCCAGAAAACAACTTGACGTGAAGAATGGATCATATAGAAAATATTGCAACAACTAGTTCTGTAATTGCTTGCGCTATTTTTACTTTAAACGACAATGTTTACACCCATTCCTCCCTATTTTTAACCCAGCATATCTACACAGTTCGCCTGGAGGATTGCGTAATGTATGCACCTGGACTTAATGTATGCATATTTTTGAGCCTCGTTATAAGACGAAATCCGCTGTTTTGATTGGTCCTCCTTATAATTGAATCAGTGTACAGCTAAAACCAAGGACATAATGTCCTTAGCTAAAACCTATCAAATAACCATTTTATTGAATAACGTTTGAAAATCTAAGACTTGCTTCGCCAGAAGCGTCCTTTTAGTCACAAATTGCGGACGTTTCGGCTATATTCGGCTATACTTTGTAACTTTGTAGTCTTATCGTTGATACTATGATATGGGAAGGATTGGATTTTCATTTTAACAATCGTCCATAAAGAGAAATAAACACTCAAAGAAATAAGTAAGCAAATGTAATATTTGTAAAGTTGAATG